TTATTATTATTATTATTATTATTATTATTATTATTATTATTATTATTGGTGGTCATACCATAATTGGTCAACAAGATATTTATACTGGATTAACATTTTTATCCATCCATTGAGTCCTTCCAAAGGACCTGGGTTAGCAGATGTTGTTGTGTTAAAGATATTGTTGCAAGTTATGAGCTGTTCCAAATAAAGCTGTTTTTTGTAATTGGCTGATGGTGATTTTGTCAATGATGATGTTCAAGTTGTGCTTCAGAAGTTTTGGGATTGCACACAAAGTGCCTGTTACTGTCGACACTATCTGTTCATTTGTCACTAGGTACTGCAATGTCACTATCCAGATATTTTTTTTTAACTTATCAACAATTATTAAGTCTGAGGTGTTATGTAGCCAGTGCTTGTTTCAATTATAAAGTCCCAGAGCATTTTAGCGTCTTCATTTCCCTTTATTTATTTATTGCTACTTTGCCATGCCTTTGTTTGTAATCAGTCTGTGCAATCTTCTTGTAACAGCTAACAAGATGGTCCAGTATTTCTTCAGCTTCTTTGCAAAGGCAGCATTTGCTATTTTTTCGATTCTGGCTTTGTAGGCATTTGTTTTTAAAGCTTGGTCTTGTGCAATCAAAATTAGCCCGTCTATCTCTTTTTTTCAATTCCTGCTCTTAGCTATTGTCAGGGCTTGTTGTTATCTGCTTTGCCTGCTAGATTTTATTGTGTGTATTGGTCATCTTTTCTATACTTCATTTGATCTTGTACGCCAGTTTGGTCACTCTAGTATTCAGTTAGCCTTCATGATGTACTAGCCTCAGTGCATCTTCTTTATTCTTCTTCAGATATTCTTCCAGTGCTCTTTTTTTTCTTCTTCAGTTGTCTGGTGTACATTCAACATTCCATGCCTGCCTATGCTCCTTGGTAAGTACAGCCTGTCAACATCACTATGTGGATGAAGGGTGTGATTCATTGTCATTATTTTCTAGTCTTCCTAGCCAGCACTTTTAGTTCTGCTTAAGTCCAATCCACTATTCCAGCTTTTGTGTGTTTATTAACAGTGTTTGGACTTCACAATCTTCATCACACTCATCATGTATTTTCTATTAACCTTGTTCTTAATTTCAGTGTGTTTAATATTGTCAGCTCAAAGAATGCCCAGGTAGTTGTAGTGATCTTCTTCATCCAAATTCTTCATGTTATTCCCATAGGGCTTCTTGATCCCTTCATTTTTCACCATTTTCCCCCTATTGGTAGTAAGGGTAATTAAGGGCACATTTGTCCATTCCAAATTCCATTGCAATATCTTGACTTTATATACGGACAGTATGGTGCAGCAATTCTATATCACTTGTTTTTTTTTTCATACAGCTTCAGATTATCCATGTAAAGGGAGTGAGATATTCTGGCAGATGTTTTTGATGTTTGATTGCCATGATCTGATATTTTCAGTACCATTGACTGAGGATTTCCCAAAGCTGCTTTTTCAAGAGGCAACTGGACTTTCTGGGGTTTTTGTGAAGACATTTCGCTTCTCATCCAAGAAGCTTCTTCAGCTCTGACTGGATGGTGGACAATGGAAAGATTTATACGCCTTGCAGACAGCTGTACATTTGCATTCTTTTAGCGGGTCATTAAGGTCACCTGGAGATTTATCTGTGTCATCAGGGTCACCTGAGTGGTGCAAATTGGTGTGGAGTCTTCTTGGAACAGTTGAAAGGATTGTGTTGTAGATTGGAGATAGATGATTTGAATTTCTCTCCCCCTCCCAGTTGAGCGAAGGCTGTTCAGTTTTAACATAGATGGCCACTTTGACCCCTCTTTCAAACTAGCAGTCTTCTCTGTCCAAAATGTGGACTTTGCTGTCTTCAAATGAGTGGTCTGTGTCTTTTAAATGCAGATGGACTGCTGAATCTAGTCCTGATGTGTTTGTTCTCCTATGCTGTGCAATGCACTTTTGAAGTGGTTGTTTTGTTTCCCCAATGTACAGATCTGCACATGGCTTGCTGCATTGTATTGCATTTACCGTGTTGTTCAGTTTACATCTGGGTATTTTATCCTTGGGGTTGACAAGCTTCTGCCTTAGTGAATTTTTGGGTTTGAAGTGTGCACGTATGTTATATTGGCTGAAGATCCTCCTGAGCTTTTCCAATATGCCTACGATATACGGAATGACAACGTTGGTTCGTTTATTGTTTTCTTAGTTATCTATTGTGGAGGACCTCCTGTAAGGTCTTTTTTGAGATGTGATGAAGGCCCACTTGGGATAGCCACACTTTCTGAGGCTTCCTTGATGTGCTTTCATTCTTTTTCTTTCCCATCTTTGATTATAGGCAGGCCCTCAGCTCGGTGATGTAAGGTTCTGATTACTCCCATTTTGTGTTTCAGTGGGTGGTGGGAATCAAAGTACAAATATTGATCTGTGTGGGTGGGTTTTCTGTAAACTTCAATGTTAATCTTCCTTTGACGTGTACCACACAGTACAGAAAGGCTAGACTATTTTCCTTAACATCTTCTCATTGGATTGGATTTGTTGATATGATGAATGGTGTTGCCAACTAGAGGAGCTCATCAGGTAGTTAGATGTTTTGCATTGACAAAGGAGTTAATGCCATGACAAACAGTGATGGTGACAGTGGGTCTCCTTGAAAGCTTCCTCTGTTATTATTATTATTTTAATGTGGTCATTGTCAAACATTCTTTTTGGATACAACCATTCAGAATATATATTAGGCTATGTTTATTTATTGAGTGATTTAAGTCCAGATTACTTTTTTATGACACTACAGCTATTAACGTATTTGCAACAACAGTTTATCTTTCCCAAAACAAATTTGAGAAGATTTAACAGAAATGATCCCAGCAGCTACTATATGTTCTGAAGCCTGTGCTATATAGTACAATTGACCAGTTGAAATGGAAATTAATATTTATTCAAGGTGTTATGCTCTTCTTCATAATAATTAAAGCTGAAATATTATCTATATGAATGGGTGTAACTAACGAAATCATAAAATAAATCTCTCAACTACCTATCTTTCAATAGTGATGGGGATGTAATGAATATTTCCATGACTTCAAAATATGAAATATAGAATGCATGCTAATGGTTATTGGTGCTGGATTTTTTAAAGCTGCGTGTTACATATATCTACAGTACCAGGTGCATTTTACTGAAGCATATACACATTTCCCTTGGGCAGTTTCCTATTCTCATTTAAAGTATAACCAAATTAAGATGTGTAAAGATTTGTCACAAATGTAATTAGAATATATAATCATTCTCTGCACTTACACCTCCAAAGCTTGAGAACCAGCTAAGTCTTCTGGATGGCATGATCCTCACTCACCAGCCATGAGTGATCATGCATAATTCTGCAAAGTACTTTGCTCCTTTTAGATTTTCTGAACCTTGAATCATCCACTGAGTGTTATCAGACATTCATTGGAGTCCTGCTGATAAAAAGAGGAGTATTTATTGAAGTATTCATTTATTTCATGAACAAAGTTATCTAATAGGTCATGGGCCACTTTGAAAAACTAACCACCTCCCAACTTCAGTTGATTAAAGTAAATTTGCCATGGAGAAATGAGTCCGAAATTCTCACAGAGTGATTTAAGAAACTGCTCATCAATTATAGGAAGCATTTGGTTGTAATTATTTCAACTGTGGATAGTGAAAACAGCTATTGAATACAAAGAGCAATATATATGTATGTTTTCTTAAGTTTTTGCGGGTACTTACATGTATGGTATTCAGCTTTGTTCAGGTATTTTCCCATGTCATTATAGTTGTGCTTTTAAAGTTGTAGCAACGTTTCGGCAGAATCTCATCTGCCATCATCAGGCTTCTGTATAGTGTTCGTCTGTGAGTCAGACTTTCACAGCCATTTCTGTTTTAAATTTGGTGCTAGCCTACGCTGTGCCAGAATGGTGGTTTTTTTTCTTCATCCCAATTGGTTGGGAGTCTTGGTTTGTGTTTATTGGTCTTGGAGTTTGTTGTGTTCTGCTTGATTGGTGTTTCTAATATCTTCTGTCTGTTTTGTAGCTTTTTTTGTCTTGATTGGCTGGCAACATTGTGTTTCCTGTATTGGAGGTTTTTAGTGTGGCTTGGCTCCAAGTAAACGGATGGCTATCATTTATTAGGAAGCTAGGTTTCATCTGGGTGCGGACGAACACTATACAGAAGCGTGATGATGGCAGATTATATATATAATAGGCTGCCCCAAATTTAAATCTGAAACCACTGTAAAAGTCTGACTCACAGACGAACGCTATACAGAAGCCTGATGATGGCAGATGAGATTCTGCTGAAACGTTGCTACAACTTTAAAAGAACAACTACAATGACGTGGGAAAATACCCGAACAAAGCCGAACGCCATACATGTAAGTACCCGCGAAAACTTGAGAAAACAAATATATATATATATATATATATATATATATATATATATATATATATATATATATATATGCGGATCTTTGGTTATTCGGGTTTTCTCCCGCGTAAAATTGGAAGTATCTAGG